CTTCCATTGACAGCCCCAGCTGCAGGCTTCCAGACCCACATTTTCACATGCTGTGAGAGCCAAGGGAGGAGCCGGAGAAGGGAGGTACATTGTCCAGAGCTTTGCCATTTACTTACAAGTTTCTTTTTCCACACCCCTTCTTCCTCCCTGCTTCCCACTCTCCCTCCCATATCACCATCCTTGTCTCCCCCCTCCCCATATTTTCTTCATGGCAGTGTCTGAAGGAACATCTCTAAATGACACAGAGAGCACTAACCAACCCAGAATTTGAGTTGACTTCACCTGTCATTGCCTCTGTTTCCACCAACTGTTGATCCCTCTCCCTTCTGCTGTACCAGTCACAATGGGCACCAGCCACCACTGTGTTCAGATTTTTACCTCCAACACATTTTTTAGGCCTGATCCGTAGATAGTTAACACATTTACTTAAACAAGTATTCCCAAGGTTCATTTATGCGAAATGAGGTCAATATATTCCCTCAACCACACAGGTATTCATAGCAAAAGTTATATTACAACTGACATATGGCTCCCAGGTGTGCACTTATTAAAACTGATCCCTTTTGAAATTCTACAAACAAAATTATTTTGCTTTCTGCTAGGGATTCCTTCCTGTGTGCCCAACGTAGCAGTTTGCCTGGAGGTCAGACAAATCCCAGTTAGGTCCCGGATAAGAATTCTAAAGATCCATTATTGGCTAAAACTAATATTCTTCACAGAAGGTCTGGCACCCTTAGCTTTAACAGATACATGTCAAACAAAATTGAAATCCTCACTGCCAGAGGAACTGAGAAGCCTAGGGTTCACAGTGCAGGCTCTGATAACCTGTGGACATGAGAAAGTCAAATCCACAATTAAGCAACGGATATGAGATGCTGAGTTACAATGCCACATGAGTGAAATGACCAGGTATCCAGAAATTAAAGATAATGGGAGGGAGTTTAGATGAGTTTTTATTCTTGCCAAATTCAATGTCCTTCCAGCTGCATTACTGCAGGACAGATTCAAAGGCAAACCATGCCTGTGTGGTTTGAAGGAAGTTGAAACTGCTACTCATGCCCTAATGAATTGTCATTATTACAAGGCTATACGTTCTATATTTATAACTCCAATCATGCAGCAAACCCCAAGTAGAACTGATGATTACTACATAAAAAACTTAATAGAGGACAGGGAACCAGAGATTACCTTAGAAGTGGCTAGATTCTGTGCTGCTGCTATAAAATTAAGTAGACTGGTTTTGAATGAATCTAATGGCCAATGTCTTAATATGTCTTAATATGTTTTAAGTTAGCAGTTAAGGTTTTAACTTACAGTATAGTGTATATTTTAGCTGTTTTATATCTGCATTATTTATCGTGTATCATCTCATAGAGCTTAATTTTAATCTATTTATATCTGTATGCTCTCTGTTGTTGTATGTGTTTGCACTCTGGTCAGTGACCGAAATAAATTGATTCATTCAATCAAATAATCATTTGCTAATTTAGAAGTTGCAGAGCTCTTTGCTGTGTGTTGAATTCTGGCTGCTTGTTACATTATTGGGAAGATGAAGCCCTCTAGTGGACAAAAGGAGAATTGCCAAGTATTACAGAAAGCTGTGCCTTCCTTTTCCTTACTAATTATACATGTGGTGGGACCCGTGGGGCTGAACGTCAGATCAGATATTGAGGTGAATCAGAGTAATTTGAAGTAATCTTTCATATTATCAGGTTGGGTCATACTGTTAATAAGTTGGACCAGAAAGTGCCCAATGGTCTGAGCCTCAGTTTTTCCACTACAAAAAACAGGTACAGCAAATCTTGTTGATTCAACATCACTGGGATTACCGTACTTCCTCAGCAGACACACTTCCATGCACCCATTTTTTTATTTTTATTTTTGCTTACATCCGGGATGGGGAAGCTGTGGCCTTCCAAATATCAAATTTCAACAACAGCATGCAATGAATGGGTTCCATTCCTCCCCCCTTGACAAGTAAATGTATCTTGTTTTACAGCTATAATAACCAACTGTGGCTTTTGTTTTCTGAATCACATAACCACATACTTAGCTACATTTAAAAAATTAAGGAACAAAACTTTTTTTTTTTAAATTAAAGATTTTCTTGATTTACAGAAGTATGTGTAATGTTTCTCGTATTTTTTCCATGTAACATTTTTACAAATCAGTTTCATTTGTTGAGACATTAGGAAGAAAAGGGGTGGAGGAAGGAAGATGGGTGGGGTGGAACAAAACTTTAGACCACAGTCATACCCCCAAGCATAGATGCCTTTCATTACAAATATCAATAGAAAAACTAAAACGCATTGTGTTGTATTCAACCAAGTCCTACTAGTCCTACTCAGGGTAGATCCATTGAAATTAATGAACCTAAGTTAGTAATGTCTATTAGTAATGTCTATTAACTTCAGTGGGTCCACTCTGAGTGAAATTTATCATTAGCACAGACCTCCTTTCTTTTGTTCTCTAATTGTCCCATCACCCAGGTGATCACCTCAACACAGGAAGCTAGCTTGGCTTATATTTTAACACTTTCTGGGTCCAGGGGTTAGAAGGATCTCATATAAAGCTTAATCCCCCCCCCATAAACCTCATAACAATATGTATTGCCTATAATTAGAAATTAAAGTGTTTACCTGTCTACTTTCTGAATGTAATGGTGATTACTTCTTTCCCCCAAAGTCCACCCACCTTCCCAATAAACTACTCTGCCATGCTTTGGGAAGATTAGGTTAGAAATGAGATTTAAAGATTAGCCACTGGTATTCCACTGAGAAAACAATTGAATTTAAGACTCCTTCAGCTGTAAAGCCAGATGGTTCAAAGAGCTGATGGGAATATTGGAATAAAAGATTTGTCACAAACCAAGTTAGGAATTTAAAGTGGTTTCTAGTGTATTTTTTAAAACCAGGTCTTAAGGCTTTAAAATATTCCCCTGCAAAGCAGTCATTATTTTTAACCTTTAAACAACTCTGAACCTCTGACTCCGTATCCTTAATCAGATGTGCCTCATAGGCAGTTTCTCATTAAAATACAAAAATAATTGAGCTTCTCTCCGCCCCCGCCCCCCGCATCCAAATTATAACACGTTTGTCTGGCCACCAAAGGCAATAGATGCTATGCCTAGCAAGGCTCACTGTACTGAAAGTAAACTGCACAGTATCAGATTTGGCTGAAAACTAGAGAATCTTGATGTTGCAGAGACTGTGTTTAGATTACCCACAAGAGTCTTTCCAGCCCCATGATTCCAGTAGGATCTTGCAACATGACCATTGCTCAGGTGTAAGTATGAAGATGCCTTTTACGTGTCAGAGATCAGTAATAAATAACACTTGTTTGGGGAGGAGGAATGGATTCATGGCGATGAAAAAGAAATGGCTTTTATCTCTATACTGCTTTATTAGTTAATGGCATTAGGACAAATTCCACAGACAAAAAAAAAAAATCAGTTTGGTGTAATTAGAATAAACCCAATAGAATTCAGAATTCAGCACAGCAAGCCAAGGAAATGCTGAAATGATAAATTTCTGTTTTAACCTAATTGGGAATTACATTTATTTCAGTTTCAGAGCCATTCTTTAACTCAACAGCTGGGATAGGGAAGGCCTACTCTGCTTGAAAGATAACACTGAGGCTGCCTTACTGGAAAAAAGAAGAGGTAAATATCAGTAGCATAAGGGCTGCAATCTGCTCCTTGCTTCCATCCTCCCTTTTTAATAGAACACTTGTAACAAACGTCCTCTCTCTCTCCTTCATTACAAGCTACTGGTTGATGTGACCAAACTACTCTCTGAGGACATCAAAGTTAGTATCTAGCTTTTCCGTGCCCAGAGGTGAAAGTAAAGCAGGAGTGGAGAGAGGACAGTAAAAGGAGAGGAATCTGCCTGATGAATCTCCTGGCACACTGTACAGTCTGGTAGACTTTAGTAAAGGCATGTGATTTCATGGAAGGGAATCGCAGCATTAACACCCGGGTAGAGTCTTGTTTCCCCCATAGCTGCAGCCTTGGATTCAAGCAGATGAATTAGAGACAGATCCCACCCACTCAAAAAACCCGCTGTTATTTTTATACCACACAAGCAAACCAGCATTTCAATTTAGCTCAACCTCTTGTGTGTGCATAAGGGTGTGCTAATTTATTTACATTTAATAATACACTCAGCAATCTTATTAAAATGAGGCTTCGCCTCATCATAATAGAAATTAAAATGAAAGTAGCTGTGGTATCTGCTGCAAAGGGAGGCAGGAACTCTGTAGTAAACAATGGTAATTGTTTTGAGTAAGTGCAAGTCGCAAAATGTAACTGGCATGGTTCAGTGAGTATTTCCACCTGCAACCTTGAGATATGCAAAGATTTCGCATTTGAACATTAAAGCGGCAATGCACATACATTATTTGGGAATAATTCTCATCAAGTACAACAGAGCTTGCTTCATAGCAGACATACATTGAATTGGGCTGCAAGGCCAGGATAATACATAAAAAGGAGTAAGTTGAATTGAGTAAGTTTCCAGCAGCTGGTATTCAAAAGCATAGCTGTCATGGTTAGTAGCCAATGATAGCCTTTTCTCCATGAGTTTGTTCAATCCTCTTTTAAAGTTATTCAGCTTGGTAGGCCTCCCTGTCTCCTGTGGAAGTGAGTTCCATAGTTTAACATTGCACTTCATTGGATGTTCATGAGTTTCAGTGTTACGAGAGAGGGGAGGAAATCTCCCTCCTTCTTTCTCCATGCCATGCATAATTTCATAGATTTCTATAATGCTGCTTCTAAGTAAACATGTAAGGAGCACTTTGCATGTTTCTGTACAGTGGTGCCCCGCAAGACGAATGCCTCGCAAGACGAAAAACTCGCTAGACGAAAGGGTTTTCCGTTTTTTGAGCTGCTTCACAAGACGAATTTCCCTATGGGCTTGTTTCGCAAGACGAAAACGTCTTGCAAGTTTGTTTCCTTTTTCGTAAAACCGTTAATACCCAGGGTGCATTGCTTCAGAGGTGCAGTTGCGACTTGACTTCGAGGAGCAACACATAGCACGCGGTGTGGTAGCCTTTTTTGAGGTTTTTGAGGACTTTGCTGATTTTTGAAGCTTTTCCAAAACTTCTTTTGCAGCCGTTTGGTAAGTTAAACTTTTAAAACTTTTTTGGGGTTTTTTGGATTTTGGGTTGGGGTGTTTGGAATTCAAGGACTTGGTGTTGGGGAGAGGTTTGCAAGAATCTGGGAGCTTGTGTGGTTTTTTTCTGCATTTTTATGATTTTTTGTGACCATTGGGGCACTGTGCTGTTTTTTTTTTAAAAAAAATTCTGGGTTTGAATTTCTGTGTGGTGGGTGGCTGGGGGAACAGTTGAGGAGGGGTTTGCAAGAATCTGGGAGCTTGTGTGGGTTTTTTTTTTTGAATTTTTATGATTTTCTGTGACCATTGGGCCATGTTTTTTTTATTTTTATTTTTCTGGGTTTGAATTTCTGTGTGGTGGGTGGCTGGGGGAACAGTTGAGGAGGGGTTTGCAACAGTTGGGGAGGGGTTTGCAGGAATCTGGGAGCTTGTGTGGTTTTTTTCTGCATTTTAATGATTTTCTGTGACCATTGGGCCATGTTGTTTTTTTCAAAAAAAAATTCTGGGTTTGAATTTCTGTGTGGTGGGCGGCTGGGGGAACAGTTGAGGAGGGGTTTGCAACAGTTGGGGAGGGGTTTGCAACAGTTGGGGAGGGGTTTGCAATTTCTGTGTGGTGGGTGGGTGGCTGGGAGAACAGTTGAGGTTTTTGAAGACTTTGGTGATTTTTAAAGCTTTTCCAAAACTTCTTTTGCAGCCATTTGAGGATTTTGAAGACTTTGGTGATTTGCAGCCATTTCGTAAGTTAAACTTTTAAAACTTTTTTGGGGGTTTTTGGATTTTGGGTTGGGTGTTTGGAATTCAAGGACTTGGTTCTGGGTTTGAATTCCTGTGTGGTGGGTGGCTGGGTGCTTTTGAATTTTTTGGGTGTGAAGCACTGATTTTCCCCCCCCCTGAGTTTACGAAGCTAGGAGCTGTGCTGCCATGGGACCCAAGAAGACTGCTGCTGCAGAGGCCGGCGAGAGGAAGAAGGAGAAGGTGACGCTGGAAATGAAGAAGGAGATCATCCGGAAGCACGACGGTGGAATGCGTGTGACAGACCTCGCCAGGGAGTACGGCAGGAACCCATCGACCATCGGCACCATCCTGAAGATGAGGGAGAAGATCCTTGCGACTGATGCAGCCAAGGGAGTCACCAGGATCGTGAAGAACCGCCCAGCTGTTCTGGAGGAGGTCGAGAAGTTGCTGCTCATCTGGTTAGAAGAGAAGCAGCGTGCAGGGGACACAGTGACTGAGGCCGTCATTTGTGAGAAGGCCAAGGCCTTGCACGCAGACCTCGTCCGGGAACAGCCAGGAACCTCAGGCGAGCCAGAAGTCTTCAAGGCAAGCAGAGGCTGGTTTGACCGGTTCAAGACAAGATCTGGAATCCACAGCGTGGTCAGGCATGGAGAGGCTGCCAGTTCTGATGTTCCTGCGGCTGAAGACTTTGCATTGGAGTTCCTGGAGGCTGTGAAGACGGAGGGCTACGTTCCACAGCAGGTCTTCAACTGCGACGAGACCGGGCTGTTTTGGAAGAGGATGCCCAAAAGGACTTTCATCACACAGGAGGAGGCCAAGTTGCCTGGCCACAAGCCCATGAAGGACCGTCTGACCCTGCTCTTCTGTGCCAACGCAAGCGGCGACCTGAAGATCAAGCCCCTGCTGGTGTACCACTCGGAGAACCCACGGGCCTTCAAGAAACACAAGGTCGACAAGGAGCAGCTGAGTGTCATGTGGCGATCCAACAGTAAGGCTTGGGTCACACGTGTGCTGTTTGTGGACTGGGTCAATCTTGCTTTTGGCCCTGCTGTCAAACAGTACCTGCTGGACAACGACCTGCCGCTGAAGGCTTTGCTTCTGATGGACAATGCTCCTGCTCATCCTAAAGGCCTTGAGGAGGACTTGTTGGAGGAGTTCAGCTTCATCAACATCATGTTCCTGCCGCCTAACACCACGCCACTGCTCCAGCCGATGGATCAGCAGGTCATTACACCAAGGAGCTTTTCAGGCGATGCTTCGAGGTGACTGATTGCACCACCATCACCCTGCGGGAATTCTGGAAGGACCACTTCGACATCGTCACCTGCTTGAAGATGATCACCACGGCCTGGAACGGGATCAGCCAGAGAAATTTGAATTGCGCTTGGCGCAGCCTGTGGCCGGACTGTGTGGCACCAAGTGACTCTGATGCACCAGAGTCAACAGTGGTGCAGGACATTGTTGCCTTGGGGAGGACCATGGGCCTGGAGGTCACAGAGGAGGACGTCTGCGAGCTGGTGGAGGAGCACGACCACGAGCTGACCACCCAGGAGCTGGTCGAACTGCAGGCAGAGGCTGCGCAGGAGCAGGCCTCGCTGGAAGAGGAGGAAGCAACTGAGGAACGGCTGTCCTCCAAAGAACTGAGGGACATTTGCATGAAGTGGAAGGATGTGCAGGCTTTTGCACAGCGGCACCACCCTAACAAGCACGTGGCACATGACCTTGCGAACACTTTTGATACGACGGTCATGTTGCCTTTCAGGGAGGTGCTGTAAAGGCGGATGAAGCAGCAGACCATGGACAGGTTCTTCAGCAAGAAGCAAAGAGTGGAAGAGGAACCTTCTTCGAGTGGTCCCCCGAGTCTTAGAAAATGTACTGTACACTTTGTTGATTTTTAAATGTTTTTCTGTCATGTTTAGAAACTTAATTTATTGTTCCTTCAATTTTTGAAATGCTCTTTACAGTATGTGTGACTTTAAAGAGCACTTAATAAACTCTTGTTGTACCAAATTTGGCTTTGTTTGGACTTTTTTTGACCATAGGAACGCATTAATTGAATTTCAATGCATTCCTATGGGATTTCGTGCTTCGCAAGACGAAAAATTCGCTAGACGAAAAAACTTGCAGAACGAATTAATTTCATCTTGCGAGGCACCACTGTACTTAGTCTGCAACCCTATGCACATTTACTTAGGAGTAAGTCCCTTGAACTTAATGGGCCTGAGTAGACATATATAGAATTATGCTGTTAATAATGTAGATGACTAAGTCAGATGACTGTGGTCATCACAGAAATTATAGCTTCCTAATGAAAGCATTATCATCACAGACATGTAGTTGGAAATAATCTAAATCCACTATGATTCAAAAGCCTACAGTTATGAAATGGAAATTATGCAATAAAGTCAGGGAGCAAAGGCAAGCCATCCCTGTAAATTTCTAAAATCCCAAACATTATTCTGACACACAAGTATTTATGCTATTTTAGGTTACCATTATTCATTCATTCATTCAACTAAATGACATTAATCTGACAGCTTTATGTCATTCTCCTGTCTATCAGGAGAAGAAGTGAACTTTGCCAGTTGTGATCAAAGTGTGAGGTGGAAAGGAGATTAGTATGACTATATCAGCAGTGTTTCATAGGAAGTAAGAGTATCCTAAGAAATTCAAACTGAAGTCTCTTGGGACTTCAGGGGTAGGGAAACATTTTTGCCATGGGGAGCAATCTTTATTCCCCACCATGGGCCAACTTTGACAGGTGCTTGCAGAGAGCGCTGCTAGAGTGTTTGGTTCATGGCAGTTGCTCAAGTTTTCCCAATCCCGGCATCTCAGACTTCCAGATGGATATTATATTTCATTGTGTTTAACAATATTCCTTGCCCTCTTGTCAAGTGGGTGTGAGATCAAGATGCCTTTTCACTTAGAATGCAGATTTCAGTATTCAAAGGAGATATTTGAGACATACATGGGCCAAGCCAGGCTTTGTACATGGAGCACAAAATAGGTCCTTGAATATGCATATATTTTGTCTATGTAGGGATGCGGGTGGTGCTGTGGTCTAAACCACTTTGGCTTGCCGATTGGAAGGTTGGCGGTTCAAATTCCTGTGATGGGGTGAGCTCCCATTACTCTGTCCCAGCTCCTGCCAGCCTAGCAGTTCGGAAGCACACCAGTAGATAAATAGGTACCACTGCGATGGGAAGATAAATGGTGTTTCCATGTGCTCTGGTTTCCGTTGTGGTGTTCCGTTGTGCCAGAAGTGGTTTAGTCATGCTGGCCACATGACCCAGAAAGCTGTCTGTGGACAAACGCTGGCTCTCTTGGCCTGAAAGCAAGATGAGCGCCACAACCCCAGAGTTGCCTTCAACTGGACTTAACCGTCCAGGGGTCCTTTACCTTTTTACCTTTTATTTTGTCTATGTCCTTTTTATTTTTGGATGCAATTGTTCTTCACTGTCTGGACAGCCCATCCTGCTTCCCTGTTACTACAAAGAAAGTGTGAACTACTGGAAAAGCTTTAAAAAGCAATGCCAGAGAACAGTAACCCATTATCTGTTCTCATATTGGAAGGTATGCCATGGTGAACAAATATATTCTAGCCCAGTGTTCACTAATTCTTTGGATGTTATTGTACTATCCAAGTAACAGGAATAGTAGACGATATTTGTCATGGATGATCTGTTGTAATAGAGAGCTCTACTGGGACTAGTCAGTGCTAAGTATAGACTTGGCAGCTGGCCACCCAGGTCTACAGGTCTTCTTTCATAGACAACCTGGAATCTGTTGTGAGGTAGAGTCTTGCTCTTTCATTCCAATATTTTCCCTTCACAGATCTCTTTTCATTTTCCTTTGCTAGGCTTCAGTATATTCTTCTAGCTGAACGTAAGGTAACCATTTTTATTTTAATGCACAACAACAACTTTCATTTCAAATTTTCATGTAAACCAGTGCCTAGATTGTGAATACAACCTAGCTATCAGGGAGAGGTTATACTATAATCTTTACTTCTGATGTCTACAATTGTATGAGATGTCACCTTCAATCTGAAGTATTCAGTCAAGACTCCATTACCACCTCAGTGAGAACTTGGCCTCAGTCTCACCTATATTTTCTTTAAAAATATTTTCCTCCCTTTGAAAAGAAACATAGGCATTGAGGTGGTATTAAAATTTATATCAGTCCAATATATCAACGTTCTATAGGTACAGTATTATAGCATTACAAACCAACTTGCAATGATAATGTCAAACAATCAAATTAAACCAAAGGACTTACTTCAGCCAGATAATTATGTGTTACTTGATTTGCCATAATCCAGTGGGACATTCTGCAAGCCCAGAATTAAGCGAAATGGCATTTTTAAAAGAGCACTGTAAAAGTCTTGTTCTTTAAGATTTCAGTTTAAACAGTTCCATTTTAATTGCATTTTCATCAAAATTCAGAGCATGTAGCTGGTTTTTGTCATATTATTATTACATAATTGAACATTTTAATTTGTATCTGGAACATATCCTATTGTTGACTGTTTATAACTGAAAGAAAATAGGTTAAAAAAACACTTAGCTTCATAAAATATTGGTATTTTGGGCAAAGCTTATTTAAAAGTATTTACCTGCCTTCAATATTAAATAGAAGAATGCTGCAGGAAAATTACCTTGCTGAATTACAGTAATCTTTTGCAACCAGCAGAGGTCCTGCTCCATCTTTTACAAAATGTGAGTACATTTGAACACTAACCATATTCTTAAAAAAAGAAAAAGAAATCCTTGATCTAATTCACAGCTCATGTAAGTTTCATAAAACATAAACCATTGTTAGTCATCTGGTGTCTTAATATATCATCATATAGAAAGTAATAGGCTCAAAACCCATTCTAAACTGATAATATAAAATACCATTCAACTGAGATTCATCAAAACACAAAAAGTGTCTTCTTCTTCTTCTTTGGCGATCACTCATAGCCGAGTAAGATTGTCTTCCATAAAGACGGTTTTAACAATGAGTCCGTAAGTGACTGTGGAGGCCAATTCTGGATCCACACATCCTTCCACAGTGGGAACATTGGTTTCTGGGTGGGAGTTGATCATGGTGTGGATTTGCCAAGTGTTCCTTCCTCCTAGCACGTTTCTCCCTTGCATCCTGAGTTCAAGTGTCTTCAAAGCCTATGACACCTTTGGTAAAAGCTGTTCTCCAATTGGAGCACTTGCTGGCAAGTGTTTCCCAATTGTTGGTGTTTATACTACATTTTTTAAAACTTGCCTTAAGACAGTCTTTAAACCTCTTTTGTTGACCACCAGCATTACACTTTCCATTTTTAAGTTCGGAATAGAGTAGTTGCTTTGGAAGATGATAATCAGGCATCTGCACAACATGACCAGTCCAACGAAGTTGATGTTGAAGAATCATTGCTTCAGCACTTGTGATCTTTGTTTCTTCCAGTACACTGGTATTAGTTCGCATGTCTTCCCAAGTGGTGTGTAAAATTTTTCGGAGACACCGTTGATGGAATCTTTCAAGTGTAGCCATTCCTATTCAGAGTTGTGCTCCTTCTGGGGTAGTTTGTCCACCTTTGGTCCCTACCCTGCACTCAGCGCTCACCTGTGGCTCCTAGAAGCTGTCAGTGTGCAACAGCAACCACACCCCAGGAATGGTCACCTAAACCAGGTGATGGGTAGCTCTGGGGGATTTTCTGCCTGACATGACTGGCGCTGCTGTCAAAGCCCAGGCTGACCTCTGGAACATCCAAGAGATGCAGTCCTTGAGGTATTGAGGTCCAAAGCCATTTATGGCTTCAGAGATCTAAAGTAGCACTTTGAATTGGGCCCAGAAACTAACTGGCAGCCAGTGCAGTCAGGCCAAGATTGGAGTGATATGCTCAAACCGTATTGTTCCGGTGAGCAACCTTGCTGCTGAATTCTGCACCAGCTAAAGTTTCCAAACCATCTTCGGAGACAGATCCATGTATAATACATTGCAGTGAACTATCCTAGAGGTTACTGGAGCATAGATGACAGAAGGTCCTGAACCCCTGGTCTACCTGGCAGCAAGTCAGTATGCCAAGTCCAAAGTCTGAGAGCTGATCCACACAAGTGAAGTTCAAAGTCCAAAGACCAGGAAACAAGATTCTGGGCCAATCCAAGTAGCTAAGTCCAAAGTCCATCAGTCAGGATACAGTCCAGAGTCAACCCAAAGCACAGTCCTATGGAGGTCCAGGAGCAGCCAAGTCAAGGTCCATCAACATGGGTAGATGAGCAGATATAGCACCTCAGCTGTGCTGTCCATTCATAATTTGCATGCTGATTGCAGCATCTGGGCTTGACAAGATTATGTGACCCTCACCTGTTCAAAGCCTACTCCAGCTGAGGAATCACGCCCCTCCTCCCAGAGCTGGCGAGCCCCACCAGGCCAGCTAGGGAGATGGGTTGTGGGCCCTTGCCTGCCTCAGCCTTCTGGAGTGTCCCTCCTGCAGCTCTCCATGCCTCAGAGCCATGTTCATGGAGATGGGGCCCTTCTGGTTCTGGTGATGGGTCCTGCTGCTCTGGTTCCTGTGCATTGGCCTCCATCCCCTCATCCTCCTCCATCAGCCTATGAGTACTTCCTACACCAACCTCTCCTTCCCCATCCCCAGCTTGCCCTATTCACTTTCAAGTAGTTCAACTGCAGTTAAAGGACATTTTCACAAATAAATAGTGTTAGAGAAAGTGATTGGAATTAGAGAGAGGCTGGGTTTTATCTCTTCAAGAGGATAGATTTGCTTGAATGGAACAATGCAATGGATGCAAGCCCTGTTTCACCACTAATGAACTATATATTGGATCGATACGTGGCTCTGTCCTGTATGTTAGACCTTATTTATTTGTCATTTGGAAGAGAATTTCACACACTGTAAATGCAATGTGGCGCTTGGCATGGGTCCCAATGCAGCTTTGGATGCAGTTTTTTAAGCTTGACATATCTTGTACATTATAAGGCCTTCTGCTCCATTACTTTAAGCTGGCTTCATG